TAGTAAGGCTGACCCTAATATTGCTCATCTGAACAGTGATCTGACAGATGCCCTGAGAAAACAAAGGGTAAACATGTACCTGTCTGGAGGGTCTTGCAGCAAGACACAATAGAGGCTTTATGAGTAACTACTTAAATCCGGTTTTATTTGACAATGCTAACCAGATGTCTTCTGGAAAACAAATCAAGTGTTTCAATCACTGCTGCTTAAATACATTCCTTGAATTTGGCCAACAAAGCTAAACAGAAGCTACACTCGGCCAAATCCAGCTCTTCTGAAGATGAGATAATAAATGAATCATCACAGACATTGGAACAACAAGCACTATACTACATACAAAGTCCAAGTCAACACAATTACACTGGGAATAAAGACACAAAGTGCAGTCACTTGTGCAGAAAACCTTTGCAGCTGTAGCCTGAAAGCCAGTATGAAAGTTAGAATATCCGACTGTGCACACTATTTACAGGTTTACATTTCTCAGTACAGATTTGCCACCTTAATCCACTGTAAACAACAACCAGCCCAAGCAATCAACAGCAGCATGCAACAAAAGTTATCCCTAATCTGCAACTTGACCTGAGCAGCATGAGCCTTCCCAAGATCCTTGAGGAACAGGCCATCACCTTCAAGCCTGATCACTTTCCAGAGTTCGCTATGCTTCCCCTTTAGCAGTAACATGTTTATTTCATCTCTTCCTTTTAATATTGCCAGCTCCCAACTCACGGCCAAGCAGCAACAAGTGACAGTCTTTCCAGCCTTTTTTAAATTTATTTTTAAATCAAAAGGATGCTACATGGCAAATTGCTAGAACTGGAAGACAACTGCTCCTTGGAAATCAGGCCTTAAATGTCCTCTTGCATTTCCCATCACTCCAGCTGACACATTTGTTGGAGAGCACAAAGTAATTCAAAAGAAGCAGAAGTGAAGTCAATTCAGGCAAGCAACAGGTTCACTTCATCACTGTTTGCAAAACTATCAGAGACAAGTGCACTTTGGATTAGATTTTCCTTTTAGGACACTGGGTAAACCCTGGTGAACACACTGCAAACCTATCTGGTATGCAGACACACTTAGGACCCACTTCTGGTAGTGAAATAAAGACAGACTACAACTGCAGTGGGCCTCCTCCGCATCTTCATGTTCAGTGACTTGCTCATTGACATTTTTAGACTATATCACAGAAAAATAAGAATTATTCTCCATTTACTCTTATCCAAATATTTGCATCGTTGCTATTTATTGATGTATCTGCACTCCTGGCTAAAGACCACTATACTTGAGACACTTTCCCAGACAGCAGTCCTTTAAGCACTATTGTATGTATGGTAGAACAAGCCAGATCTGCTAGTGCCCAGTGACAGGGATACAGGCTGTATTACGGTACTACCCCTTTGACTCCAATAAAACACCTGCTTGGCCTCTTGGCCTGGAACATGGACCAAAGAAACATAAGCAAGAGTCCACCTCAGGCCACTTGGAGCCCAAGGGGCAGGGAAACATGTGCCACGAGCAGAATGCATTTGACATTGAATGTGTCACCCCATCCCCACACTCCACTGGGTGTTCCAAGACTCTAGCTGGTTCCCCTGAGATAGGGAGAGTTTCTTTTATTGAGTGGAAACACGGTATTTATAAATAACAGGATTTACCATCACAAGCAAAAAGCTGGATCATTTTGTAAATCACATTTAAAAATGGTACCTTGACGATGATTCGTAGCTGAATTTGTTATTCTGCTCTAGCTACCATGCTAAGTCTTGAAGACACTACAGAGACATCAAAGACCTTCATTTTAAAATTGATGCAAATAATGAAGTCTGGATTTAACATTTTTCAAGCCACTGCTGTTAGTCAACAGCAATTTTAGATTTTAATAAAAGCCCAATAAAGCCACTTCAGTTGTTGAGAACAGGCATAAGTACTATGTATTACCAACTTTCCATGTTCCCGGTGCTTCATTTTCTAATTCAAATTACTGGAAAATATTGTCTTTTTTTTTTTTTTTAACTGCAGATGACACATGAGCATGTGCACAACTAAATAAGAATAAAGTTCTACCTCGCTTACTTATGAAGAAATTTGAACATAAGATCTCGCCATTTATCTTGAAAGTAGTTTTCTAAAGGAAAAGCACAGTAGCAGTCTAGTTTATAAGTCAAAAATTTAAGAAAAAAAAGAAAATCCGACCATGTAAAATCTACTATCACATGCTACATGTGACCTCATAGCACAATAAGCAAATGATATTTCAATATATAATACACTAAAGCAAGTAACAGCAGCAGCATTTTAAAAAAAAAAACAAACAAAACACCTCTTTCAAACACAGCACTGCCTTTGCTAAAGGTACAAAGAGTTCACAGAGATCACCAAGCAAAGAACTTGATTGCTCTTGGCAGAGTTTTGTAATATCTCTATCCTCAACATTTTAATTTTAAGCCAGCTTAAGAAAAAGCAGTGGTAATAGTTTTTTTGCCCCTTAAGCAGTGCTCATAAATTTCTTCTATATGACAGACAGCTTCAGCAGGTTTTTTTTGGCTACACTCATGCTATCAAAAAAAATCTGCTGAACTTTTAAAATTGTATCAGAGTAAATACGTTTGACCTTCAATTATTTTAAAAGCTACTCAGGATTTTACCTGGTTAGTGTTAGAGGTGAATCTAGATGGATAAGAACATCTTGGCAGAAAGGATACCTTTACTGAATTGTTTTGAATGATTTTATACATTCAATACCTTTCCGGGCTGCTTAAATAATGTCATGCTCTACGAGTGAATTACTATCAGTAATCCAAGCTTTATACTTCTCTAATTCACCGGGGCAGCGACAAGTGCAATAACAAAGTAATAGCCTGCAATCAAGTTGCTACGGACCATTACTTTCCCTTATAGTCTTCCATGCTACAATCACATAGCTCTAGGCAACTTATTTCCTACCCATTAAGAAACTTTGGAAAATGTGTCTTTTCTGAAATAGCAGGTGGAAAAAGAGTTCAGTAGCAGTCACAACTACATTAGAATTTCTTTAACACTTATACGCTGAATGAAACTCAACCCTAGGTACAGAACTTTTGAGCTAATCAGCTAAAGGAGCTCAGTAGCATCAACGTCCTCCTGATTTCACAGTGCCACAGAAGAGTAAAACTGATAAAACTTCAAGCAACACCCCGCTTATTACTTGGACCCCCCTACAGACATTAATGGAATTACTGACGATGGTACTAAATTCACACTGCAGCTAATCAGGGCAGGCAAAGGCCACAGCAAGGTACTGCTCTTAGGAAAGAAACATGGCCTGGGAAAGAGCATGAGGCAAAACATAAACAAATGAGAGCAGAATTCTGTTGACTATGTCAGGAGCTTGAGGTCTGCTGAAGGCATCATGGTTTCATCCCTCTATCTCAACAACTACCTGAAAGTAAGAAACTGAAATCCAGCTCAATGGAGTCTTGTACTACACATGCCAGTTTTATTTAATACAAATGTCTAATTGGTTAATTCTTGTAGCACTGAATAGCTTTTGTTTTTATAAAGAGAACCAGCTCTAGAGAAAAACCCCATCAGACAGAAATAATTTCAGATCTGTAAGCTGGGCTAAGCAGCATATGTTTCAAAAATGGAATTGGAAAAAAAAAAAAGTGGATCCAAATTTATTGAAGTAGGTGACACAGATAACGTACAAAAAATAAAGTACAAAAAAAATTAGAACAGCATTTTAGCCAGGTCCCATCACAGAATAAAAAACAGATGAATGAGTTGTTAATGCATACAAAAAACTAAGTGCAAGTAGTATTATTTTTAATCTTAAAGAGGAATTATTTTTTTTTTTTTGAAAGAACTCACATCTGTAATGGAACAGTAAATGTTTCAAGGCTAAAGCACTGCACAAATGCATTAATCCAATAATAAGTACAGAGGACACACAGGCTATCTGCTGAGCCATGCGTGAGCTAATAACTCCAGCTGTCAAGACTGCCCTATTAAATGATAACAAAAGGCACCCAGTAAGAGATGGTGAAAAATTAATTAACCGGAGAAACAGCAAGCAAAATAACACATAGCAGCCAAACACTTCCCCATTCACACATACAGAATGAAGTTTTCTCCATGTATAAAAAGCAGAAATGTAGTGTTAAGCAAACAAAATTACACCATTCCTTTAAATCAAGTTAACTCTGTAAGCTATCAAATACCTGTGGTTCCAGCTGAAATGAAAAGGGACTCAATATGAGCTGGCTCTTAGCAGGGAAATCCTCTTTGTCAAATAACCAACATAAAGAAAACTCTTGTGTTAACAATTTCCCGAACATGGATGTAAAGCTCTACTTTCCAATTTCCCTTCTGGTCCAGAGACAGCTGTTTCTACAAGCCTTCTCCACACACACTCCCAGTCTGCCCATGTCCGCAGGGCTGCACGAACATAACACCACATCTTCTGCACCACAGAGTGCAGGCACACCCCTCAACAAAGGTGCTACGGTGAGAAATTGGTCCTCAGGAAAACACTGCACCCTTCTGCAAGGAATAAGATACACTACTTAGTGATTCCTTGCGAGTGCCCTATTCCCTGCTTCTTTTCTCTGCCCTTAATCCCTTTTCCAACTTTTCACAAACAGTCAAAAAATGGCATGGCATGGCTACAGAAGTTCCTGAATGACATACCTCTGATTTGGTTTTTATACTGAAGCATAAATGGAATCATTCAGGACTTACTAAAATAGAAGGCATCAGTCTGAAGCAATTCAAAGACTCAATGAAAATGGCAAAAAAAAACCCTAAGCTTTCCACTTCTCCATTCCACAGTACCAATCTACCAGGTAACAAATTTCCTTGTTATTTGATGGAGGAAAAATACTTAAGCTACTGGTAAACCCCACTCAGTGCTCCTGCTGTGCTGCAGAAAAAGACGACAAGTTTCTTCTGAAGTCTGCAACTTGGATAAGTTTGCAAGGACTGTGGCAAAAACTACCATGTTTTTAGTATCAGAAACATCTCACCTCTCAGTACTGACTTGAGGTTCAGCTTTGCTTGCCGGTGCAAGTCCTCCACACAAGGTGGTCTTGAGGAAGGCAGGAACACATTTTCCTGCTGGTGCCATGGAGCAGTGTAATGGACAGTCCATCTGCTCTCTTCATCTAAGTTGGAAACAGCTGCGGACAGAGAGAAAAAAAAGTAAGTGCTACTGCAGACAGGTCTATCATGTAACCCCGTACACATGTTTTGTCATGCATCTTGAAATTGAGAAGACCGTTTATCACCATGGTCCTATCAAAACACTATTTAGACCCTTACTTCCTTAACAATCAAAAGACATCTCTCTTCTGGAATTATAAATGGCTTAGGCCAGAAGGGACCTTAAAGCCAACCAGTTCCAAGCCCCCTTCCGCCCACCAGGCTGTTCAGGGCCCCATCCAACCTGGACCTAAACACCTCCAGGAATGGGGCAGCCACAGTTTCTCTAGGCAACCTGTTCCACTGCCTCATCACCCTATGAGTAAAGAATATCTTCCTAACAGCTAACAAACTTCCCTTCTTTTAGTTTAAAGCCATTCCTCCTCATCCTATCATTATTAGAACAAGTAGAAAGTCAGCCCCTTCCTTCTTATAAATTCCCTTCAAGTACTGGAAAGCTGCAATGAGGTGTCCCCAGAGCCTTCTCGTCCCAGTACCTCAAACTTCTTTCACAGGAGAAGTAAACATATTCTCTTGAGGGTGTGTAGGAAACTCCCTTTCATCCTCCTGTGTTTTCACTTGCTAATGCATTTATTGTGGACCTGCAAGACTATTTTTCTGCCCACTAACTCCCAGTCACTGCAAATGAAATCAGTTTTCTTGTCCCTGATCCTGCCAGGAGCCTCCTCCAGCTCAAGGGTGACCCTGAAAATGTGACAGCCACCATGAGAGATTAGGACAGGTTCATTTGTATTGTGAAATAACCTTCTCCGACCTCACACTCACACAAACCAGGAACTCAAATTCAACGGAAGTCAACAAATCAGCTTCTTTACATTTCCATGAGTGAAAAGCAGGCTTGGACAACAGCAGCTCAACAGGCAAACACTGCTCAGAGCACAGCAGCAATGAGTAGGGATGGCACCAGTCACCATATATGAAAACACCACAATGACATTGCTCAGGTTCAAAGTTCCCTACAGACCGCCAGCAAAAATCAGCCATCATGCATAAGTCTAAGATTTGCTTATCATTTATCTTTCCCGAGAAAGAGCCATTACCTTTTGTTTAAAGTTTATCATCAATAAAAACTTTTACAGTTGAATGGTCTTATCCCTCCACCCCTTAATAAGAGGAAAAGGGCAGTTGGGGGTCATATTTTACAATCCCCCAGGCACTGTTTGGCCTTCAGCCAGCATGCTGCATATCCTTGCTTTTAGCTCTCTGAAGCAGGAAAAAACCAAACCACTACAGCTGCGTCTCCTTCAGAGCACCTGCTCTGCTGGCTCAGCCCTATGGCACTGGCCTTGCTAGCAGCCCCACATCCTCCCTCGCTCTGCTGGCTGCCTGCAGCACCCACCAGCGATGTTCTTGCAGTGTGCAGAAGCTTAGAAGAAATAGGAGCCACTGTCTACTGGTGTCTGAGAAATGGCTCTGCCTCTAACACAGCGCATCTGCTGGGATGAGCTTGGATGGAAATAATCTGGGCTCATTAAAGATCGTAAGCTATGCCTTAAACTTCAAAACCTATCTAAAACACAATGCTGCTTTGTCCTTAAAGGTTCTGGGGAGCAGGAAAGTCCTTAAAAAAAAAAAAAAAAAAAGGTGTGGAAATTCATTTAAGATTAGTGTCAGAGCTCAGAAAGTTTCTGAAGAATGGTTCTTGATCATTCCATCCATAGGACAGCCTGATCCCATACCCCACCCATCCCTTAGCACTGGGTGCAGGTGTCCTTGTAACCAGAGGGCACATCTATCACCACCCACTCAGACACCACCCCACCCCTTACAGCAGCACCCGGCCCTGCCCTAAGGCAGGCAGCAGGTTTACTCAGCGCCCTGCCATAAAATCATGGACTCATCGCGGTTGGGATCACCCAGTCCAACCACAGACTGACGTACCCATTCCAGACTGTGGGAGGAGGGAGGGGGGCAGCCAGGCCTGCCACACCAAAGCTCCTGCTCACCACAGGTGCCCAACAAACCCACTGCACAGAAACGCAGAGTATTTTCCCAAACTCTCACTCCCTCGTGCAATTTGTACACCTTCACGAATTAAATTAAGTTAAATTAAGAACTGCAATTCACCTGAAATCCATCCTGTCGTTAGGTCAGGTGTTAAAGACGTTCCCAGCAGAAGCAGCGGGGCAGTGCAGTGCAGGTGGGAGGCTGCCCCAAACCTCGCTCCCCACACCCTGCACCCACGGGCATCCCCTGCGAGCCTGGCTGCTGCCCCACCACACAAAGAGCCTCACGGGAGTTGACCCAGAAGCCCTAAGCAGACATCCTATAAGGCTGCATCTGCACATAACCAAGTATTCAACAAAGTGGCATAAATCACAACAACACGGCACAGAAGCCAGAGCCGCGCTCCGCTGCTTCCCACAAGGACCGCCAGCACGCACAGTTACTTACTCTTTCTCTTGAAAAGTTTCATGAGAGATTTAAGCTTTGTGTTGATGAAAACCACCATTTTCAAGGTGTTTTGCTGCGATCTCGGAGCTTAAAACAAATAAGAAGCCGGAGCTGCAGAAAGGTGTCTGTTTTCCGGACCGATCCTGATGAAACCGTACCGATTTCTCCTCTTCAGAGTTCCCCCTCCTCCCTTTTTTCCCCACTAAATCCCAACTTTAGATACGTCTGGATCTAAAACGCATGGAACCATTTCCAATCCTTCAGCCTCGAAGCCTCCTCCTCAAGTGCAATCCCGTGGGCTGGCGACAGCCACTTTCCATATGCAAAATAGAGGGGGAGGAAAAAAGTTAATTATTATTCACAACCCCCCCCCCCCAAAAAAAAAAAC